TTTTTTTTTTTAGAATCACATGACAGTTAATTTATCATTAAGATACTGAGTCTTCCTATCCCAATGGTCTATTTTCCCTTTAAAAAAAAAACATTTTTTTTAAGTAATCTCTACACCCTACGTGGGGCTCAAACTCACAACCCTGAGATCAAGAGTCACGTGCTCTGCAGACTGAGCCAGCCAGGCACCCCTATTTTCCCATTTTTTAAAAGACTTCCCCCCCAAAAAAAATGCAGCACCCAGGTGGCTCAGTTGAGCACCTGACTCTTGATTTAGGCTCAGGTGGTGATCCCAGGGTCCTGGGATGAAGCCTCATGAGCCTGCTTGAGATTCTCTCTCTCTCTCTCTCTCTCTCTCTCTCTCTCTCTCTCTCTCTCTCTCAATTAAAAGAACAAACAAACTTCCTTTGTGTCCTTCAGAAGAGTGTTAGGAGCGCCTGGGTGGCTCAGTCGGTTCAGCGTCCCAACTTCAGCTCAGGTTATAATCTCGAGGTTTGTGAGTTCAAGCCCACATCGGGCTGGTGGCTGTCAGCACGGAGCCTGCTTCAGATCTGTCCCTTTCTCCCTCTCTGCTCCTTCCCTGCTGATGCTCTCGCTCTCTCTCTCAAAACAAATAAGTAAACTTTAAAAAAATAACCCTAGGATCACTGAAGATTCCGCAAAGGCCTTTGACAAAATTCAGTAATCATTCTTGATCAAACACCCACCGAGCAACAGACACATATGTGAAGAACTTCCACAAAATCAGGAACAAGACAAGGGTGCTTGGCTATCATTCACATTGTTTTACAGGAGACAGAAGGCACCGGCCCAGGAATTAATAAGGAGAAAGAAATTCAAGGTAGAAAAGTTGTAAAGAGGCATTATTTTCAACTGTTTGATATGACCTGTTCTTCAACCTAAGAACCACAGGAAAAACTACTATAAACAAGAGAATTCGGTGTGTTAACAGGCTATCAAATAAATATGGAGACATTACATTTTTTTGAAATCAGTTATCCTCTTTCTATTTGAGAGAGCGAGAGAGAGTGCTAGCAGGGGAGAGGGGCAGCGGGAGAAAGAGAATCCCAAGCAGGCGCCACGCTCGCACTGAGCCGGCTCCCGCAACCCTGGGATCACCACCTGAGCCGATGTCAAGAGTTGGACGCTCAACCGACTGAGCTCCCCGGGTGCCCGGAAATGCATTATTTTCAAACACACAGGCAAACTTTTAGAAAAAATGTAACAGAAAGAATCCTCATTTATGCAGAAAAAACAGGAAAGATAAAGTAGCTAGGAATAAATAGATCTGCCAGAGATCTACTTTTGGAACATTCATTTAGGGGCAAACAATATTCTTTTGGTTTAAATATTTATTTTTTTGAGGGCGAGCACGCGCCAGCCAGCGTGAGCAGGGGAGGGGCCGAAGAGGGGGGTGGAGGTTTTGAAGTGGGCTCTGTGCTGACGGGAGATCTGAGCAGAAGTTGGACCTTAACCCACTGAGCCACCCGGACGCCCTCCTACGGTTATTTTTACAGTCCCCACCATGATGAAGTAGTTACTGATAATGCACGATCTTCGTGTGCCTCGAGTGATCCTTATTTACAAATGAGGTATAAGCTTTTTGATGTGCTTCTGGATGTCTGTCTTTTTTGTTTTTTCTTTCAGTAGGCTTCCTGCCCAGCACAGAGCCCACCTGAGCTGAGGAGTGGCCGGGTGGCTCGATCAGTGTCCCAACTCCTGATTTCAGATCAGGTCATGATCCCAGGGTTATGGGATCGAGCCCCACATCGGGCTCTGAGCTGAGCAAGGAATCTGCTTGGGATTTTCTCTCTCTCTTCCCACCTCCACCCCCTCTTCAGCCTCTCACCCTCTTCAAAACAAATAAACAAACTTAAAAAAAAAAAA